TTATGATTGAGATTTTTATTATAGGATTCTAATAACATTACAGATGCTGAAATTTGAATGTTTCAGACATATATAAACCTCCTTAATCGTTACTTTGTTATTTACGATATTAAATACTAGTCAAAGTGTTTAAAATTTAGAAGGGAATATCTAATTTGTAGGAATAAAAAATAAGATAACAATAGATACGGAAATTTCCGAAGACTAAAAGTTATCGATCTAGATTTTTCAAAGTTACGACGTCTGTCACATTTCTATTTTCCTTTTCTTAAGGCAAAAGGGCTAAGTGCACTTTCTTTATCATTGAGACTGATGCAGATCGTTGACATCAAATTGCAAATATAGGTGGCACATTTCCACTTGGTTCTTAAAAAGCTGATAATCAACCTGGCATATGCACAGTAGGTTTTATTATTTTGTTGATCCGCTAACTATTTATTAGGTGCAAAATAAGTATAGTTAGATTTAGGAACAAAACATCTGAACTAATTAATCCGGTGTATACAAATGTGGGCATCTAAACCAATTTCAAGTAAGTGGTTGGGTTTTGGCTTTGGATCCTCCATTCCACTTTGTGTACCAATCTTTATTATATTCTCTAATCTTATAAGTGAAATTACATGTGCTGGAATAAAAAGTGGTATAGTGATTTTTTTTTCAATTGTTTTTGGAGGGATGGAGGGTGACGGGGTAAGCAGTGGATAGTCATCTACTTACACATAAAGTGGAATAAAAGATCTCAAACTTTGGGCTTTGTGAGATTTATCGAAAGACACACTAACTTCTAAAAAGACTATATTCTTTTGGTCTTAAATCTTAGCAGGGGAGTAGATTAATCCTTCATTAGTAAAATCTTCATCATTATACAAGGACTCCACAAATTGCGAAAACATAATTTATTTTGATTTGCCAACAACAAAAGTTGGGATGTTTCTTAAGTTCCAGGTTTAAATTTCCTTGTTCTCTCTCTGCTTTTTAAGTCTCATGGCTTTCCTACTGAAAAAATTTAAAAAATTGGCAATTAAGTACTAATTAAAAAATTGAAGTTCTATATATCTATAAAATAAGTTTTTGGTAATTATTATATTGATAACTTACCTCTTTTGCAGGTTTTGGAATGTCTCAATCGTTTATCATCATTATTCCGGGAAAAGGACGCATTCTCACTAACGTCAGATTTTGCCTTACTCGTACACGTTACTAAATCGAGCCAGCAATTGTTATTAACGTCTGTTTATGCACTTCTCAGGCAGTATTCCATAAACTATCACTCAAAATTAGATGAATGTTTGTTGCGCAACTGAGTACTTAAGCCTTACTTGCGGCATTATCAATGAGATTTCAGCGACCCCGTTTAAATCTTGCATAAGTTCTGAGATATTTTGGAAGATAGATACTTTGAAGTTGGATTTATTAGCTTAACCTTTAGCAAGAATTTAAGTGTCCATACAGAATCACACATTTGCTGGTTCTGAAAGATCTACACATGTTAAGTGTCTGCCGAGGTTCATACTTTTATTCATCTTCCCGTTTCCACACTTTCAACTCTCCTTTTACGCCCACAAACCCCCTTCCCCCGACCCTTCCCTTTTTCTAAATAGTTTTTTGAGAGGGCCATTATCAATTTCGGGTGTAATAATTTGGTTCCTCAAGTTTTCTCTATAAAAAAAGGTAAAAGAAAACCAAATTTGGGGCAGTTTTCTCAATAATTAATTTGGTCCACCATATTTTTGTATTGCAGCGTAATTTTGGTCCTTAAAAACATGCAAAAGTACCTAATTTATCCATAATCTTTTTAATCGAAAACTTGGGTATTTTCTTGATTAACATGGACAAAGAACCTTCATAATTCGATATTGTACTAGTATGTTGTATTATATCTAACAGAGTGCCAAAACTAAACTTGTACTTGATAATAGGATGTTGCAATAGAGCTTTCTGCAATTTAGGGTCTGTTTGGTTGGAAGTAATTTTTCATGAAAATCATTTCCCTTTCATCATTTTCAGGTGTTTGGTTAGTTTATTGAAAATATTTTTTTACTTCATTTTTCTGGTGTTTGTTTAACTTTTGAAATATTTTCACTTTTACCTCTATCTTAACTTTCTACACATTATAACTACATACTTCTTCCCATGCAAAATAAGAAAATTTATCTCATTGTTTAACTTTAAAAAATCTTGGAGAAATGTATTTATGAATAAAAAAATATCTCCTTAAGCAATAAACAAATTGCTGGCCATTTAGTGTCAAATATCAATCACATGCAATGCTTATTATGACATATATCTTGCACTCTCACTGCTGAAAGTTTCTCTAGAAAAAGAATGTCCCTATTATACATAATTAATTACTAGCATAGGATGAGCAGGATGAGGTTTTTTTTTTATTTTGAATATACTAGGGGGAGGGTTGGGTTGGGTGGTAAGGGGGAGGGAGTGTAAGGAAGAGATCTTAGGTTCGAATCCTCCTGTTTACATTAAAAAAAAAAAAAGAACATACTACAAGATGTTTTCAATAAGTTTGGAACATGCTACAGGCGGGATGCATGCATTTCGGAAAACAACTTCAGTAAGTTTGGAAGGGAAGTTGTTTTCCATAAGATGAGTGAAAATATTTTACATAGGAAAATATTTTCAGTAACTTTTGTGCAACCAAACACGGGAAATTAAGAAAATATTTTCCTGGAAAATATTTTCACCCGAAACAAACGGAACCTTAATTGACTTTTCCGGGGAAGAAAGAGGGGCCTGAGATACGTAAAGCGCTAAAGCCATACCCAGTGACATGGACAAACCCAAATTCCTGCTTGTCCTAATTGTACAGGCCGGCATGTTTCCTTCCATGCTTAAAGTTTCTTAATCAGAAGGACATTCTCGGTTGTTAAAAAAAAAAAAAAATCTTCTTTTTTTTTCACTTTTTTTGGGGTAAAATACTAAAAAGTCTCTTGTGATTTATCTAATGTTCAACTTAACTTTGTATTGTTTGAGAACTTACATTCTAATTCCTCATAATTTTACATAAACTGAAATTTGGACAGAAATTGTCTAAACTAATGGTTGCATGTTAAATGTCAAAATTTTCCTTACAAACAATAGGATTAAATACCAAAAAATTCCTTGTGATTTGCCAAATATTCAAATTAACTCCATATGATTCAGAAACCTACATTCTAGCTGCTCATGGTAAACAATTTCAATAAGTTCTTTAACAACTACATTCTTAATTCTTTATGATTTGAAAACCTATATTCTAGTTTCTCGTGACAAACAATTTCAATGAGTCATTTAATAAATACACTCTTCCAAAAGGGAAATAGTTGTAGTATGAATGTTTGAATGGATTAGTAGAAGACTAATACAACAAATATAATTTAGTTAAAACTAGGAGGCTAGAATGTAAGTTTTTAAATCAGAGAGAATTAAATTGAATATACGATAAATCATAAGGGATTTTTTGTATTTAATTCTATTATTTATAAACGGCAATTCTGACAGTTTGTGTGTAACCATTAGTTTATATGGTTTTTGTCAAATTTTTAATTTAATTAAAAGTACGATTGGTTAAAATGTAAGTTTTCAAATCATAGGAAGTTAAGTTGAACATTCGATAAATCACAAGGGACTTTTTGGTATTTAACTCCATTTTTTTAAGAGCTGGATATGTAATTATGCATAACTTACTATTACTGGTGTCTTTACCTATGTAATCCTCACATTAACGTCTTCATCCATTTAGAAGAACCATCTAAAGTGAGATATGCTTCTAGAAGTACCTAAGAGTGATGAGTAAAGTACGACTTTTCTTGATGACAGTGTCAATAGTACATTTTTCATGCTCATATTTTGCAGATGTGAGTGATGGAAGAATGTAGGTAGTGTAGCCATGGATACAACTGGTGTTCTTATCTTGTACTTTTTCTTTTCCCCCCTTGTAAAAATTTTTAGCAGCGAAAAGAATAAATCCATTCTCTATTTAGTCATTTGTTTATGTTTATAATATATTACCATAATAAATCTATTCTATTAATTTTCTGTAATTGCTTTTAATCTTTTGGTATTGGTGCATAATAACAATTTTATTTTCTAAGACACTACTAGCTTATTCAAAAGAGGTACTCCATACATTGTATAGAGTACCTCTTTTGAATACGTGTAAGCCTATGTTGTATAAATTATTTTAGTTGGTAAGTGTAAAGGCCTAATTAAACATTTGGAAAAGCCATCGCCATTATTTATATTGATTTTGGTATTTACTTTTCTATTAATTCTTTTATTAAATCGGCTTTGATATCTCATGTACATATATTCCTAAGTAGTTTACTATTTGCTTAGGTTTATATTGATTTTGGTATTTACTTTTCTGTTAATTCTTTTATTAAATCGGCTTTGATATCTCATGTACGTGTATTCCTAAGTAGTTTACTATTTGCATAGGTTTATACTTAAATTAATCATCTACTACATAACTGAGCATTCTATAATTAATATAAAGTGTCGCATTCTAATGCCTGAATTTGGTAAAATCTGGAAGAGAAAGATAACTAAAAGGTGCTCCAACTTACAATTTTAGATGTCATCTTTTCTAAGATGGATGCAATTTAGAGCTACAATTTCAAAGAAAATTACTTCCGCCGATTGTTTAAGAAACTTCGAATCAATTAATATGAAAGTCATGATAACTTTTCATCCCAATTATTTTCTTGTAATAGGGATGCATTTTGCAATTACATTGTCACAAGAAATTACTTCTGCCAATTGCTTTAAGAAACTTCTAAATTTACAAATGCAACATATATGATATAATTTTATAGAACTTCATGTAGATGAATTATGATGCAGCTTTATACACAAATTAATCTTATATGCACTGACATTATACATTTCACAGTACATATAAGATTAATTCTATATGAATTTGCAACTTTTATATACTATGCATGACTAGGCAAACTTGAATAATTGGTCATAACTAGCCAAAATTAAAAAGCAGCGTTCACCTCCTAGTTTGAAACTATTCTTCTTAGCACTTCCTCCACAGCTGCATCGAAGGCATCTCTGTGATTGCCAAGTTCTCCGCCAGGAAAACCATACGAAATCCTTGGAATCATGTCAATTACCTTTTCCCTCATCCTCTTGATATCTTCTCCAGTGTATCCCTCCAATATTTTCCTTATCGAAGTCCCATTCCTTACTTTATTCCGGTGTATAAAAACCGAGAAAGACTCCAATTCACCAGACATGAACAACTCGTACTGACCAACAACAGTTTCTTTCCAGAAAAAAAACCGGTATCGAACCCGCCAACATACAATCAAAAATGGACCTTCTCGTAAGCGAGTCACCCCTGGGCTGCAAACAGAAGTCTGAGTCCAGGAATGCTTCAAGAACCATAGTAGAGCCATCCAAGCAAGCTGTCCTGGCACAGTCCACAGCTTTGCAAGAATCACTCTCGTTGTTACAGTGATCCATCAACAAAGCCCTGAAGTCGTTCTTTGTAAATCCACGCTTTCCCCCGACAAACGTGAAGAGACTCGACCTCTTTCTACTTCGCACAAATTCCTGCCATTGCTCAATTTCCCAGAAGGTGTTGGGATGAAATCCGGTAGGATAGGGTACGCTAACTTCCGTTGGATCCTGCCGGCTTCTTTCCAGTGTTAAGCTGAACATTTTTCTCATCAAGGGCATGAGAAGGAAGCTTGTTCCCCAGGGTTCATCATCACGCGCCCGTTTAAAGTCCCACGAAGTTCGACTCAGGGCAAGGAAATGATCCGAACCGTTGGATCTCTTCCAGTAATATTGGTCCTTGATCCACTCGAGGAAAGTGTAGAAGGGTGCATCTCGCTCTTTGGCAGTGTAGCCACTGAATAAAATGTTGGACGCCGCTAGTCCAGCATAAAACGGCACGTAGAAAGCTGCAGCAGATTTCGGCTCCATGGTTCTGCACTTGTAGTTTAGAATCCGGTTGTGAAAAATAACATCACCCGCGAACATGTGGGTCCAGTACCAAGCTCGACTAAGCTCCGGCGGGACAATTCTGGCGAGGTCGGCCGCGGCTTCTGCCCCAAACCCACTGTTGGACAGCGCCACGCATTGGGGTTCTCGGTGGTCTATACGGCAACCCTCCAACAGTTTCTTGTTGAAAATTGGAGGAAGGTCGTCGTATACGTAAACCTTTCCGTATCTACATTGTACATGGTCAACAACATCATCCGGATGATGAACAGAAGGAGGAGCATGCAGCTGTTGAATAACCTGCTTCCCTGGTACTTCATGCTGCTGCTGCTGCTGCACTTGGGGATGGGTGGCTGAGTACAATTGGGCTGCCGTTGTCAAAAGAGTGGGAGCACGAGAGGCGGTAGTAGTCAAGACTAGGACGATGAATCCAATATGGAAGAGTACGATGAGGAAGGCCCAAGCAAATTGGTTGAAAGAAACAATCCTGAAATCAAAAATAGCAGCAGTAGTATTAGTAGGACTCTTGGGATGATTTCCATGCATACCAACAGCTTTAACTTTTAATGAGGATTTGGAAGAGGGAAGCATGTTGCTCTGCGCTAAAATGACTTTTGGTGCGTTAATTTGCAAACGGTGGTGCTGTTACGTTGGATGAATTAGTAAGGTGGATACAAGCGGAACAATTAAAGTGTTTCCCTCTTTATCATTTTTTTTTCTTTAGTTTTAAAAGGTAACGGATGCGACCCAAAACCTAATTCTTACATCTCAACAACTAGAATCTAATGTCTGTAGTTTGCGTAATTTTAGTATATATGCATTGATACATCTGTCGTTTAATTCATCGTGGAATCGCACAGGTTGGTTGGTTGACATTTATCAGAAAAACTACTACTACTTGCCGAGTTGAGGTGAAAGCCACAGCAGAAAACGTTGGATAGGAATTGCTTGCCCTATTGTTTTATCGGCTCAAAAACTTACGTGGCCTTTCATATGGCAAGGAGCGATGGAGAAGCAAATAAATAAATAAATCCTCGATACCGTGTATTAGACATTAAACTTGAAGTTGACAGCAATTTGAATCAAAATTTGCCGGCGTCCTTAACAATGATTCACAAGATACTTGGTACTATAAATAATGATAGGGAGAATTGTAATTTTGGTCCCCAATCTATAGTGTATGTGCGAAATTATCCCCAATCTATTTCGAAAATCAATTTTGGTCCCCAATCTATTCAATTTTGTACTAAAGTGGACAATTGACGGAATCTCTTCAATTTCAATCGGAATTAAGTCACGTGAGATCACGTGCCAGCACCTAAAACCCCTTTTTCAATTTTTTTAATTTCTAAAACATGTTTTTTAATATTTTCAGCTTTCTCTTGCCTTTTGTCTTATTAAACAAAGACTTGAAAAGCGTAATCTCACAATCCAAATTACTCCTCTTGTTGGCCGCCGCCTTCAAATCCCCAGAACCCACAGCACGAGTAAGAAGCTCAGCTTGGCCTCCAAGTCCAAGTCTCGTTCTTGCCTCCATTAGTAATAGAGATAATCTGCAATCAACACCGGAGACGGACCCAGTTCAACTCTTCTGCACAAACAACAGGAGCAGCAGCAGTACTACTTCATAAGCAAGCAAGCAAGCAGTTGAGAGAGAAGAGCGGATGATAATAATTAGAAATCAAAGGGATTATACGGACCAAATCATCAAAGGGATTATACTAGTAAGTATATTCTTTCCCTATTAGTCATTCTTCACCGTTGAACTGGAATGAGCATTCAATTGAACCACTAGTATATTATTGGTAGGTCATGCTTACGGCTAGAACAGACACTTCATCGATGACTATAGAATGGGCCTTGTCTCTTTTGCTCAACCATCCCGAGGTGCTAGAGAAAGCTCGAGCTAAATTGGATGCTCAAGTAGGAATTGATCGATTGGTCGACGAACATAATCTATCCAATCTTCCTTATCTTCATAACATTATTTCAGAAACACTTTGGTTGTACCCAGCAGCACCAATGCTTGTGCCACATGAGTTGTCTGATGACTGTAAAATTGGGGAATACAATATTCCGCGAGGCACAATTTTGCTAGTTAATGCATGGGCAATTCACAGGGACCCAAACATTTGGGATGATCCAACAAGCTTCAAGCCAGAGAGATTTGAAAGCTTGTAGGTTCAGCCATCAAAGCTGATTCCATTTGGGATGGGAAGGAGATCTTACCCTGGTTCTGGCCTAGCACAGCGGGTGGTGGGTTTGGCCTTGGGATCTCTAATTCAGAGTTTTGATTGGAAAAGAATTGGCGAGGAGGAGATTGATCTGGCTAAAGGGACAGGAGTGTCCATGCCAAAAGCCAAGCCACTGGAAAAAACGTATTTTAGAAATTAAAAAATTGAAAAAGGGGTTTTAGGTGCCGGCACGTGATCTCACGTGACTTAGTAACGATTGAAATTGAAGAAATTCCGTCAATTGTCCACTTTAGCACAAAATTGAATAGATTGGGGATCAAAATTGATTTTCGAAATAGATTGGGGATAATTGCGCACATACACTATAGATTGGGGACCAAACTTACAATTCTCCCATAATGATAACTCAAAAGTAGGGGAAAAAAAAGATTATGATATATAGACAATCTATATATTATTATCTAAAATTTGAAACTAATTGAAATATAATTCAAAAATTATAATACAACAAATTTTTATTACATGTTTTATAAGATTATACAAAAAGTACAAATATTTTTCTGAATAATCTTAAAATGCATACAGATATAGTAGTGTATTATAGAGGTATAATACAAATACTTACTAAAATACCAAGTTTTAATCATTAATCAAATTCACTGTTTTACTAATAGAAATTGCCATTTAATTGCAAAAATTTATCATTATTTCAAATAAACTTTCTAATACGAGTTTGGTGTAAGTTTTTTTAATTGAAATAGTAAATTTGTGCAATGAACTAGTAAATTTTAATCGTTAATCAAATTTACTATCTTATCACTAAACTTTACAATTTATCTTCAAAAACTTGCTATTTCTGAACTAAACTTATTCCTGCTAAAAATGTAAGTCTAGGATATAAAGTAGTAATTTATTCCTTTGAAAAAGTAAGTTTTATATTTATTCTAATATATCTTTTGAGACATAAAATTACTAATTTTGGCAAATATTATTTGTACTCCCATCATACTCCCATTAACATTTTAATCACATAGTTTTCATTTATTAGACTATATGATAAAATAGTGTTAGGAGTGCAGATAATAAAAAATGGAGTGCAAATAATATTTTCCCTAATTTATTATGTCAATTTACTATTTCAAATGAGAAACTTACCACCAAGTTTTCAGGTATTATCCTATGTAGGTAAATGGATCTAATAGGTGATCAAATGATCCTTAAAAACGTGATAATCTGTAATATCAATAAAAAATATCTCCATCATTATTGGAGCATTTTTTCAAAAGATTGATAGCGCATAGTACTATAAATTAATGCATTGGTTGTCTTCACGATGGTTTATAATAATGATAATTAGTCAGTGTTAATTACTCTTTAGTATTGTAATAAAGGTTGCAATCAACAATATCCAAGAAATTCAGGAGCTGCAACTAATTAATTTCCAACAAGCTTCCAGAATGACAATGCCATATTTAACCAACATCCTTAGCTGTAGTTACCAAAAAAAAAATTTCAAAAAAAGAACACCCATTAATTGTATAATATATATACCTTAGGCACCACTCCCAAAGCATGTTGTATAACATATGCGTTAGACACCACTATGATAAGCCGTAAAATTGCAGTTTTTTTAACTTTTTTATCAGGGGAATCGTGGGCTTCCCGCAAAATTTAAGTTAAACCATCGTATCCCAACATAAAAAAGAAAAAAAATCTGCCAGTTGTCTTGAAATACTCTGCTGCATTGTTTGATAAAGAATGATCAAATGAAGCTATAATTTTTCTTTTTTTTTTTAATGATGAGACCACAATTCAAACTACATAGCTTTATTCATCTTTAGAATTATGAATTGCTTCAAGTGATGTTATCATCTTGGAAGTTCCAATCTATCAAAGGATTCATTTGCCAAGAACACAAACAATTAATTAAACATGTACCTGACGTATACTAATAAAGAATTTCCAAAGATTGTAATTTGCTTGATATAATCACGTACGAAGTAAAAGTGCAGAGACATCATATGCTAAGCAACACGATCATGTGGATTCCCATCCACGATTAACTTTCCACTCTTGAGTCTTGAGCCATAATTAATTTATTAAAAACTTTCCACATAACGAATCATGAAATGTAAAAGATTAAGAAAAGTTTACATACAGACCTTGTCAACGAGAAAGAACAATTTTTTCTTGGTAGCTAGAAATGAATTATGTGACACCCGAAAGGCGAAGAAAGAAAATTTCTGGTTAGAAATGTTTTTGGAGAATCCGGCCGGAAATCCGGCCAGTTCTTGGCCGGATACCTGGCCGGATTGGCAGGGGTTTTGGAAAAAAATTTGATTTCGCCACTGCCACAAATTCGGCCAGCAATTCGGCCGGAAATCCGGCCAGATCTTGGCCGGATTGTGATGTGGCACCTCGGCAGCCAACTTTGACCGGCTGTTTTTCCTTCATTCTTATCTTGTTTCTTGGCTGAGCTATCTTCATTTTCCTCCTTGCTTGGCCGGCTGTTTTGAGAGAGAAAACAAGAGAGGAAAAACTTCATTTTCTACTTCACTTTCTTGCCCAAATCTTGAGTTTTAACCGCTAGTTTTGCAATCTACTCCATACAACTGTGCACTAAGGAAGTTTAAAGGCTTTGGTAGAGTCTTTGGTGAAGGGGAAGCACTAAGCTACCTTGTTTCTTGTGGTTATAAGGTGAGTTGCTAAGAAATTCCCTCTTTGTTCTTAATAAGGGTGGATTAGTGGTTTTATTGGCTAAATATGCTATTTTGTGGAAGATTTCATGATTTTAAGTAGAGTTTGACAAATTTCTGATTTATTAGTGAATTTTCTGATTTTATATGATAATTGTTGGTTGGTCATGGAATGATAGCTTGATATGGTGTCAAATGGAGCCTTTGTGCGTTAGTTGTGGTTGTTTGCGGAAAATTTCAGATTTGTGCGGAAAATTTCAGTTTTAGGGTTTCAAATTTGGGGTTTTCTTATGGTTGGTTATTGAGCTCTTAATTGGTTAAGATTTAAGGGGTATTGTGACCTAATTAGGTGTGTTGTATGGCCTATGATTTGTATGTGTAATTATGATTGAATTGAGATGTTATTGGTGATGTATTGTAGGATGGGAAAATAAGGAAATTAAGGGGAAATGCTGTCCAATCTTTGAGGGCATTTGATTGCTTTGAGTTTGAGTTAACTCTTGATATTTGTGATCTAGGGCTTGGACTTGATCAAGGAAATTGTCTATGATGGATGAGGTTCATGAGCTGTGGTTGGTGAGTAAGTCCACAACTATTTTCAAAGTTACTTTTCGAACTAATTCTTGCATTGGTTACTCGATTGCATATCATTTGTGTTTGTGTGTGTGCCATGACATGATTTGGCTCCATTGAGCTCTTG